TCATCTGTCTTGGCCGCACACCATTGCATTACCCACCCGTCGCATCTTGAATCAGCATCGCGCTGCTCAACAAGCATTCAAATTCCGCGCCTGGCCTTGTTTCCCGTTTGATAGGTAACAACGAATGCTCCGACCGAGCTAAAGAGGCAAACTCGCCTGGGCTCTGCATCGTGTTTGTTAATCATCACAGTCGTGGTTCCCCGACTCTTGCCGCGACCCGCCGCCCATCGCCTGCCGAACACCACCTCGACCCTCGATTGCTCGCAAATCCAACTCTCAGGTGCATTAGCTGCAGGTAATCGCAAGATCGACTCCTGCGCACTCGGCCTGTCTCCTGTCTGCCACCCGTCGTCGCACGCACAGGTGCCAATTTCTCCAAGATGGCCGACTACGATGACTACGACTACGACGGTTACGTCGAAGAAGATGACACCAGCATCACACCTGAAGACTGCTGGACCGTGATCTCTTCCTTCTTCGAGTCCAAGGGTCTGGTTTCTCAGCAGGTCGACTCCTTCGACGAATTCACCTCTTCAACCGTCCAGGAGCTCATCGATGAATACTCCCAAATCACCCTGGACCAACCGAACCCTATGTCAGACAGTGACAAGGTCATCGCCCTCCGTCGATACGAAGTCAAATTTGGCACCGTCATGGTCTCCCGTCCATCCATCACCGAAGCTGATGGTAAAGTTACGACACTACTGCCCTACGAATGCCGCGACCGCAATCTCACCTACGCAAGCCCCCTCTATGTTAAGATCACCAAGAAGGTCTCGATCGCGGTAGAAAAACCAGTTCCGCTGAACGAACTTGACGAGGAACAGCAGGATGAGCTTGCAAATACTGGCGAGCACCCCACGAAGTTGGAGTGGGAAGAGGAGGAGAGCGGCGAAGATTATGGTGCCGACAAAAACAAGTCCGACGACATGAAGGACATGATCTTCATCGGTCGCATGCCCATCATGGTCAAGTCCAAGATTTGCCACTTGAGTAGCGAGCAGGAGGATGACTTATTCATGCTGAATGAGTGTCCTTACGACCAGGGAGGTTACTTCATCATTAACGGCAGTGAAAAAGTACTCATTGCACAAGAGCGGTCGGCCGCCAACATCGTTCAAGTCTTCAAGAAGGCCCAGCCAAGTCCTTACTCCTACACGGCTGAGATTCGCAGCGCTCTCGAGAAGGGTTCGCGACTCATTTCATCTATGATGCTGAAGCTATACAGCAAGGGCGACGCGGCAAAGGGGGGATACGGTCAGACTATTCACTGCAGTCTGCCCTACGTCAAGGCCGATCTGCCAATTGCCATCGTTTTCCGAGCGCTGGGCGTGGTATCCGACGAGGATATCCTCAATCACATTTGCTATGACCGAAATGATAGCCAGATGCTCGAGATGTTGCGGCCATGCATCGAGGAGGCTTTCTGTATCCAGGACAGAGAGGTTGCCCTTGACTTCATCGGCAAGCGAGGTAGCAACCATAACATTCCCAGAGAAAAGCGCGTTAGGACTGCCAAAGATATTCTTCAAAAAGAAACTTTGCCGCATATCTCTCAGAGCGAAGGCAGTGAGACACGGAAGGCGTTCTTCTTGGGATACATGGTCCACAAACTGCTCCAATGCGCCTTAGGCCGACGCGATACCGACGATCGCGATCACTTTGGCAAAAAGCGCCTCGATCTCGCCGGTCCTCTTCTCGCTAAGCTGTTCCGCAACATCGTCCGCCGCATGAACCAGGAGTTGTCTGGTCACCTCAAGCGTTGTGTCGAGTCTAACCGGCAATTCAGTCTCACTCTCGGTGTGAAGCCGCAGACTCTTTCCAATGGCTTGAAGTACTCTTTGGCCACCGGCAACTGGGGAGATCAAAAGAAGGCCGCGAGCTCAACGGCTGGTGTATCTCAGGTGTTGAACCGCTACACTTTTGCGTCTACACTTTCCCATCTTCGTCGCACAAATACACCTATCGGTCGTGACGGCAAGCTGGCAAAGCCCCGACAACTTCACAACACGCATTGGGGGTTGGTTTGCCCGGCTGAGACACCGGAAGGTCAAGCCTGTGGTCTCGTCAAGAACTTGTCTCTTATGTGTTATGTCAGTGTCGGTACGCCTGCCGAGCCCATTATCGACTACATGATCCAGCGTGGCATGGAGGTTCTCGAAGAGTACGAGCCACTGAGGTATCCCAATGCCACCAAGGTCTTCCTTAATGGTGTCTGGGTCGGTGTGCACCAAGATCCAAGAATTCTGGTCCCTGACGTCCAGGGCACCCGTCGGCGAAACGTCATTTCTCACGAAGTATCGCTTGTCCGTGATATTCGAGACCGCGAGTTCAAGATCTTTTCCGATGCTGGCAGAGTCATGAGGCCTGTTTTCGTCGTGGAGCAAGGCACCAACGGCATAGTAGCCCAAGGTTCGCTTGTGTTACAAAAGGCAACGGTCAACGAAATGCGCGAGCAGCAGGAGAACCCACCGGACAACCCGGCTGACAAAATCACTTGGGAATCTCTTGCCCACAGCGGAGTCATAGAGTATCTCGACGCCGAGGAAGAAGAGACAGCTATGATTTGCATGACGCCCGAGGACCTGGAAATTTATAGACTACAGAAGCAAGGTCAAGTGGTCGAGGATAACACCGATGGCCCCAACAGCCGTCTGAAGACCAAGATTAATCCCACAACACATATGTACACTCACTGCGAAATCCACCCCAGCATGCTCCTGGGAATTTGCGCCAGCATCATTCCCTTTCCAGATCACAATCAGGTACGTCATCCTCCGGTTGTCACTTCGCAATCAAGCACTGGCTGATGAGTTCTACAGTCACCTCGTAATACCTACCAGTCCGCCATGGGCAAGCAAGCCATGGGTTTCTTCCTGACAAACTACTCGCGCAGAATGGACACGATGGCCAACATTCTCTACTACCCTCAGAAGCCGCTTGCTACCACACGGTCCATGGAGTTCCTAAAGTTCAGAGAGCTGCCAGCCGGACAGAACGCTATCGTGGCTATTGCCTGTTACTCTGGTTACAATCAGGAAGATTCTGTGATTATGAATCAGAGCAGCATTGACCGTGGCCTCTTCAGAAGTCTATTCTTCAGATCTTATACAGACTGCGAGAAGCGCGTGGGTATCAACCTAGTTGAGCAGTTTGAGAAGCCGTTCAGAAGCGATACCTTGCGTTTGAAGCATGGCACGTACGACAAGCTGGATGACGATGGTATTGTGGCACCGGGAGTCCGTGTTTCGGGTGAAGATATCATCATCGGAAAGACGTCGCCGATCAGCCCGGACAACGCTGAGATGGGCCAACGAACAGCGCAGCATGTCAAGCGTGACGCTTCCACTCCACTCAGGAGTACAGAAAACGGTATTGTAGACCAGGTCATCGTAACAACCAACCAAGACGGCCTCCGTTACGTCAAGGTCCGTGTCAGAACGACCAAGATTCCACAGATTGGTGACAAATTTGCCTCACGTCACGGCCAAAAGGGCACCATTGGTGTCACTTATCGGCAGGAAGATATGCCCTTTACCGGCGAGGGTATTACGCCGGACATTATCATCAATCCTCACGCCATTCCGTCTCGTATGACCATCGCTCACTTAATCGAGTGTCTACTCAGCAAGGTATCGACTCTGAAGGGTATGGAGGGCGACGCCACCCCTTTCACAGATGTGACTGTCGACTCAGTCTCGCAGCTCCTTCGAGATCAAGGATACCAATCAAGAGGATTTGAGATCATGTACAATGGCCACACAGGCAGGAAGCTGCGAGCGCAAGTCTTCTTTGGACCGACTTACTACCAGCGATTGCGCCATATGGTCGACGACAAGATTCACGCCCGTGCGCGTGGCCCTGTTCAAATCATGACTAGGCAACCTGTGGAGGGTCGTGCCCGTGACGGAGGTCTTCGTTTCGGAGAGATGGAGCGTGATTGCATGATTGCTCACGGGGCGGCATCTTTCCTCAAGGAGAGATTGTTCGAGGTCTCGGACGCTTTCCGAGTTCACGTTTGCGAAATTTGCGGCTTGATGACGCCTATTGCGTAAGTATCCCTATCGACTACTGCTCTGCGAGAAGTACTAACTCGATGGCAGAAACCTATCGAAGCAATCGTTTGAGTGTCGGCCGTGCAAGAACAAGACGAAGATTGCACAGATCCACATTCCTTACGCAGCCAAGCTCCTGTTCCAGGAGCTACAGTCGATGAACATTGCCGCCCGCATGTTTACCAACAGGTCCGGGGTCTCCATTCGGTAAAGAGATTAGCTGCAGGGTAGGAAAGATTGCGAATGGATTGCCGAGCCGGATTCTCGGGTCATAGAGGTGGCCTGCGAGATGAGAATAGCTGAGCGGGCGGGCTGGGAGTCTAGGGCGTGCTTGGTTGTATTTGGCGTCCACGAAGCTGGGGAACTATATTCTGGCCACCCAATCCTCTCACATCTTTGGGCGAACGACAGACTGGCAAATGACGCCTCTAGATGCCTTGTATTAATGACATGTACCATTACAACGTTGAAAAAAAAAAAACCCAAAATCAATGAGGAAAGAGAGTTTCAAGTTTTGGGACCAATAAAAAGCCCAAAGCCTTGAACATTTTGCTGCAATACTTCCTGGATATGGTGGCGTGTGGTCGTAGAAAATTGCCATTCCCGGCATCATGGCCGACTGGAGAGGTAGCATCGGCTACCCCCTCTGCCTGAGTATTGTGCCTGGCAAGACGCTAATACTCTAATATACGGGAGCGACACAGCAGCAGATTTTCCCTGCGTGATGTCGCAGCAGTCTGGTGTTGACCTTGGTGCAACGCAAGGCCGTGACCACATGATTTGTTGAGCTCCTTTCATCCTCTATTACGGGAGGAATCTCTAGGGTATTATCGTTTGCGAGGTCCTCCTGTTCCCGTCCCATACAATTGCGTCGCAATTTCTTCTTTATCCTCGATTCAGCCGTCTCTATATTGCCCAGTCGTTGCTTTCACACAAGACAGAACGTCAGCTACTGGGTTGCGGGGGCGCCGTAGCATCTCTGACGGTCTGCTCCCGCTTGTAATCCTCCTCGAGAGCACGCTGCATGTCGAAGTCGAGTTGGCGCTCTCGTTTGATGCGCTGCTGCTCAATATCGCGCACGACGCCTTGATGCATGGCCTAGGGATTATCATTCAGCTGCGAATTCTCGCAGGGGCATTTTTACGCCAAGGTGGTACATGCCTCCTTCTCAAACTTCTGCTGGAAGTGGACAATGACAATCGTGCTGGCGGCGAATAGCGATGTCGCTGCCAAAGTGAGTTTCGACGCCCGAGACATTTTTGGAAGGCGTTGGTTGAGCGTGCGGACGGCGTGTGTAAGTAGTTGATATGCCAGACCTGTGTGGCTGGAGGAGAGGATCGTCAAATGTCCGGTGGTAATGGTTCGATTTCGGCATTTGAATCTCTTCCAGAACCAGAGCTTCCGCGGCGGCGATGTCGGTTCAGCTGGGGCGACTAAGCAGGGAGGTAGGTGCTCTGGAATCGCTTAGCCCGCAACAACCTAAGGTAAGCAGGGGCCAATGAACGTCGTTACTTAACTGCTGGACTGAAGACATCTTCGGTACCGTACCTACTAACCTTACCACTTTACTCGCTCTTACCAGCCGTGTAGGCGTGCCAGGGCACTCTTAACTTGGCCGCCCTGCAGATATCGGTACTTACCCACAACAGGTACCTTGGCACATGACCTTAGTCAGCCCCAAGCGCAGCCCACTCTCGGTCGGGAACTCAGCAAACCTGGAGCTTGAGGTGGATGGTCGAGGTCGGAAGTAGGTACAGTGCTCTAGGCGCTGCGGCTGTGCACTGTGACCTTCCCTGGCACATAGGTAGTACGTCGCCTTATGTTCCTTCCATCGCCAGCGCACCTCAGCCTTCCTTGCCGCCTCCTGTTACATGAGATTGTGGAACTACATAAATCTACAGCTATCAACACCTCTTCTCCATCCGCTCCTAGTGATATCCGACGGCCAACTGTACAGTATCGCACCTTTATTCTGCGTCGCTTTCTTCGCTACCTACGTTTGTAACACTATCATACAATGGTGAGGACGTTCGATGCGAACAGGGACGTCATTTCGTCAACTTGCAGCAAACTGATTTGGCGCTCTACAGTCGGCCCAGAACTCGGCTGGTATCCAGACCCTCTTGGACGTACGTGCACTCCGTCGCGACAGTCTGCGCCGAATTGATGCTAACTTAAGCGATGCAGGCAGAGAGAGAAGCTTCCAAGATTGTCCAAAAAGGTATGCTCAAGTACGAATGCTAAAGTAACCTGTTGGCTAACGAATGGACGATACCTAGCCCGCGAGTGTAGGTTTTCAGCCTGATTAGTAAAGCGTGTTGCTACTGTGTTTTGCTTACACAGGATCGGAACAGTCCGCACGAAGCGGGTGAAGGAAGCCCGAGACGAGGCCAAGAAGGAAATCGAGGCGTACCGCAACTCTAAGGAGGATGAGTTCAAGAAGTTCGAGTCTGAGGTATATAACCCGCGGGTTTCGACGCTGCTGCTATGCAGATTTCATGCTGATAACTGTCTAGCACTCCCAAGGAAACAAAGCAGCTGAGGACGAGGCGAACAAGGAGGCCGAAGGAAAGATCAAGGAGATCCAGGGGGCTGGAAAGAAGAGCCAGGACAAGGTTGTAGCTGACCTCCTGAAGGCCGTTTTTGAGGTCAAGCCCGTCGCGCCGACTGCCGCATGAGCCAATACCAGCCTGCCGCGTGGCATCAAAACATGTTGATAGCGAGCGAATCGGATATGATGTGCCGAGCATACAAATAGAAAGGAAGCCGATGCTCTTTCTTGGAGAGGGACGAACACACCTTTCACAAGTTGACGATGATGTGAGAAGCCAGGAGGGGTAGATCGAAGTGGCAATTGCTTGAGCGGCGTTGTCAGGACTTTGGAGAATCGCACCTACGTAGGTCAGGTAGCCGTAATAGAATTGTACTTCCTAGCCTGTTACCCCCTTATTCTGTCTAAAGCAAAAAGTCTATGAGAGTGGTGAGCATATCGGACAGGTCCTTGTGCTCGGGCTTGTCGAGATCAAGGCCAGCTCTGTATTCCTCCAATGTCGCCGTAATGGCTGATAGACCCTTGCCGTCAGCGGCCAAGAGTTTCTGTACCTTCCTTTTAGCACCAGAATCTTCGGCTATGAGCCATGCCAGAACAACGTCGATGTTCCAGAAGCTGTAAAGACCTTCGTCGATCCTCCTCATAAACCACTCGCTTTCCGAGAGCTCGTCTTCCTCAGCGCTCATGCTAATTCGCTCTTGTAGAATCTTGTCGCGCTGCGCGTCCAACATAGAGTTATACCTCCTCCGACACTCGTAGAGCCGATCAAGCTTTTCATAGTCCTTCTCCACGAATTTAGCCAAGGTCCTGATTCTCTCGGCAGAGTCGGCAGGCAAGAATCGTAGCAAGGACCTGAACACGTCAAAGAGGCTTTCTGTCATGAGTCGCTGGTTTTTGCTTGTCTTCTTAAACATGGAGAAGAGCACCTTCAACCCACCGGCATCCACTAATTTTCGACAGAGTTGTCCGCTCATATCTTCGTGAACGGCGTGCACAAGAAGACGCATTGCCGGTTGCTTGCTCATCTTAGCCTCCTTGAGCATGATCAGGCACAGTTCAATGCCCTCGGCTTCGAGGAACTTGGCCTTCCCTTCTGGCTCGTCCACAATGCAGACGAGAGCATTGAAGAGGTTCTCCATATACTCTTCCTCCTCGCCCCCTTTTTCAGGGTCCCGTTTGCGATACGCAGAGACCAGCTGGAGCAACACCTCAACAGCATCCATCTCGGCGAGTGTCCGCCTAGTTGCTGGTGACGTGTTCGCAATGATGTCAAGAATCTCCGTGGCGTATTGTTTGTTTTGTGACACCGGTGACTCTTGGCGCTGTGCTCTATCTAGTAGCCATTTGACCAACGTAATGTGCTGTCCCACCTTTTCAGCGTTCGCCGTCTTGGAGAGCAGACTTTCTAAAACTCCGAGGGCGTGGTATATGCCGCCGCGGTCGGACTCGTCCTCCTCGTTCAGTCGCGAGAAATTGGACACCAGCAAGCCGATGAGGTCTGCGTTCAATAACGCATCCACGAGGGTATCCCAGTCTTGATCCGTTGCGTTGACGTCCTCGTCGATGAGCTCGCCGATGATTTCCACGGCATCAATCGCTATATCTGTGTTGTCGTGGGCCAGCAGTCCGACGAGGCTCTCGACGCATCCTAGCTTGGCAAACTGGGGGTATAAGGCGGGATGCTCGGACAGTATCGAGAGGTCTTTAATGGCGGCGTCGAGGTCGGCCTCGCTTTCAATAAACTTGTGAGGCTCGTCGGCGAACCTTGCGCGCAGTTCAGCGTTCCGGGTAATGCGCTTCTCGAAATTGAGTGCCGTTTTCCGCACCCAGCCGGCATCGATCTTTTCGGGGCCAGAAGGTTCCTCGCCGTGGCCGTCCACGAAGTCAAGGATCTCGGACTCCTGCTTTGTGATGCCCCCGCCAAAGAAACGCCCCTCGTCGTCGTCCGGGGCCATCTCTGGGCCGTAGTCCTCGTCTTCGCCATCTTTGGGTGGGTCTTGCGGTCCAGCAGTGATGTCGCTATCGTCTTCTGCCGTGTCCACTGCGCTCACATGTCGACTGACGGCGTCAGCTGCACTCAGCTTGGCTGACTTGTATATTTCATCTGTTCGTTTGTCACTTCGTATTCTCTGCGGAGGAAAGAGTTTTGAGAAGGAGAAAAGGAGAATGGAGGCAAGTACTAACTGGGATCTCGCACAGAATCAAGCTTCCTTTTGGCAGCACTGCCAGACTTTAGGGTGCTCGGTAAGTAGGGATGTGATCGTGAAGTTATGGTCCAACTTACCTTGAACAGTTCGTTGACGTCCGACATGCCCACAACAGATACCCCAGTTCGAAGAAAGAATTCGGGTTACGGTTGGCGTGTTGTGCTGTTCATTCGTTCTGCAGCCTGTGAATAGTACTGGGCTTTGTTTTGGATGGACCAGGAAGCTTTCTGACGCGATGCTTCTAGGGGTTCGTCGCGCCTGACCCACCTCCGTAACTCAGGGTACCTTAAGGTAAGGTAGGCAAGGTGAGGTGGGTAAGATATCGCTGATGCTCAACGTAATCTGAAGTTTCTGAGGTACGCAATCACCGACACCCTAGTCGCCTGTATGTATCGAGAAGACCTTACCTAACCTAGGTAAAAATGGGCTGTTTGAGGACCGCGGTATACTGTATGCAGGTATGCATAAATCGAAGCTCTACAGTAAGTGAAGCAACTGCGCGCCATGGGTACGGCGGCTAGCGAACTGCCGTTTTTGGAAATGCCGATGCGCCTAGAGTTACCTCCTAGGACACCGTAAAGCTACCTTAATTGTGCATGTTACACAGGCAATAGTCATCTTCACCAATTGTCCTACAAATAGCTCCCAGTATCTGTAGAGTATACTCCTGTAGCAGACGATCGTCTCGGCACCGTCCAACCATCGATATGCCGCCGACCGTCGTGCTCATCCGCCATGCCCAGGCGCTGCACAATGTCAACGATGAGTCTTCCAATGGCTAGCTTCACAGGTGTGAATCAGTCTGACATCATCCCACAGGACTGGAACCTCCATGACCCTGACCTATCTTCTCTGGGCCTGGAGCAATGTCAGGAACTGAAGGAGAACCTCTCACAGCGTTTCGGCAATGAGGAGAATGCTGTTATCATCGTCAGCCCCATGAGGCGCACGATCCAGACAGCCCTTCTCTCGCTGGACTGGCTGATCAAGAAGGGCATGCCGATTCAAGCCGACGCTCGATGGCAAGGTAATCAACGCCTTTTCCAACCATATATCTTTCTCGTAGTTGGGCAGGCTTCCCGAGGCTCTCTGATGCCACGTGACTGACTATGAAGTAGAAAATTCTGCGAAACCATGTGACACCGGCAGCACTATCGTGGACTTGAAGGTCGAATTTCCGAGCATTGACTTCTCCACTGTAGACCCTGTCTACCCAAACAAAACGCCCCCTACCGGCATTCAATATGCTTTCACCAAGGAAGCCATACTTGATCGAGCTCAGTCGGCTCTACAGAGCATCTATGAACGCAAAGAGAAGCTCGTCTTCGTTGTCTCTCATTCTGGCTTCCTCCGCGCTGGCGTGACTGGTCATTGGTTCTTCAACGCCGATTACAGGATCTTTGAGTTTGAACACTGCCAAGAGCCGGAGAAGCCCTTCCAACTGCGACAAGCTGAGTCAACTTCAAGTGGTGGACTTGGCAAGTCGCGGACGGAATCTGTGGTTATCGGGTCTGAATTACCAGTCCCAGAAATTCCTCCCGTAATCAAACCTAGCAGCTGAAGCACAAGAGATTAAGCAGCAGTCATGTCCTCTCGCCCAAGATGCCAACTATAAAGAGAACCCTCTAGTCTTACATCGAGGCTAGCTCAAATGATTGACACTCCTAGAAGACATGTGATTGTCCATTATCGCGTTCAGGCAATTCGGAATCAAGGGAAGCAGACATCATGCACATCGAAGGTGGCCGTAGGCACAACCAGGTTCGCAATGGTCTCACTCAGCTCACAACTCTTCCCCGGAACGAAGTTCTCTGGATTCAAAGGGAACATGTGAAGACTGACCTGGCCACCTCCTGCAATCTGGGCACTCGGGCAGCAGGAGCCGATGAACGACGAGCTAGTGAATATCCTGCAACAAGTATATGATCATTATTTGACACCAAATTTACCCATCCACATTATAGTAGGCATGGTCCCAATAGAAACCATTTCTTTCAACTTTGTATACAAACATATTTAGGATTCGACAACATAGCCGAGGCATGCTCATCTAGAGAGAAAGCTCTGGAAAGCTGACTGATCAATGACAACATTGCCTACGGCGCGAAGCCGCTTGCGCCCAGCCTTCTGCTTCTCCAATAGTTTCTTCCGGCGCGTAATGTCAGAAGCGTGTAGTTTTGCGAGTACATCCTTTCGAAATGGCTTGATAGTCTCGCGTGCAACAATCTTCCTCCCCGCCACCGCTTGAATAACGACCTCTGCGAAGAGCCTTGTCAGAAAGTATCGCCGCAAGGCTTGTATTCTGGAGAAAGTACCTACCAAACATCTGTCGATCGACGTGGTTCTTGAGTTTAGTCACCCATTGCCTGCCAAGACGCTCGGCCTGGGACGTATGAATGACACGGCAAATGGCATCAACAGGCTGTTTATTGACAAGAAGCTGCAGCTTCGTGAGCTGACTCGCTCGCCAGCCAGAGTCTTCGTAGTCTAATGTTGCGTATCCTTTTCTACTCTAGTTGTTAGAACAGGGCCCAAAGTGGTTGTCGGGGGTGTAAACCCACGTTGCGCCTTTCAGTTTACCAAACAAGTCATCGACAAGTTGAGCCGCAGGAATATCGTACTTGAGAATAACCTGCGTGGCATGGAAGAATTCGAAGCTCTTTTGCTCGCCACGCACACTCTCGCAAAGCTCGATAACACGACCAAGGTACTCTTCCGGAAGAGTCATAGTAGCAGTAACGAAGCTAAAGGTCACAAGGTCAACCGGGGGGGTTGGGGGCAGCAAAAGAATATGTGAACTTACGGTTCCAAAACGTTTGCGCCACGCATTCGGTGCTCATCCTGGCTAGGGAAGTCAGCCGGGTTCTGATAAATCGTCTCGGTCCCATCAGCCCATTCAACTTTAGTCGGCACAGTCGGGTCCGTGATGATAATGCTGGCGCCATGTTCCTGTTTCAACCGGTCCTGGAATACAGAACAGTGTAAGCTGCCTAGAAAGCCTAACCGCCAGCCTGCCCCTAGAGCCTCCGAATAGTCCTTTTGCAGGGTCACGCTCCTGTCATTGAGAACCAACTGGCTGATACTATCTGCTAGACGCGTATAGTCGCTCTGGTCGGTGGGAAAGGCCGCGACAAAGACCATAGGCTTTGGTTCCTCAAAGCCTGGATACGCCTGGACGATGTCCTCAGAACCGACAGTGGTGAAAGTATCGCCAAGTTTCGCGTCCTGGATCCGCTTCATACCAGGATTGAAGTAAATATAGCCGACCTGCCCAGCGCGAAGGACACTTTGTGGGACAGCATTGGGGTACTGTATCCCTACTTCACCAACGGTGTATTTGTGGCCGGTGGCGAATGAGATGAGGTTGTCGCCGGCCTTCACCTGGCCATCGAAGACGCGTACAAGCAGGATAACACCCCTGAAATTGTCGTACCACGAATCCACCAGCAGTATCCGCAAAGGCTTGGAAACTTGGCCAACGGGATGCGGAATCTGCTCTACAACGGCGGGTAAAATGTTGGCCACGTTCTTGCCAGTCTTAGCTGATACAAGGACTGCCGTGGAAGGTTCCAGCTCGAAAGACGTCTGCATCTGCTCAAGGACCCTCGGGACATCGGCAGAGGGCATGTCGATTTTGTTGACGACAGGAATGAGAGCAAGGTCCTGGGCAAAGGCAAGGTGAAAATTAGAAACAGTCTGGGCTTGAATACCCTGACTGGCGTCGACCAGCAATAGAGCACCACCACAACTCGCGTAGGATCGCGTTACTTCGGCTCTAAAGTCGACGTGGCCGGGGGTGTCAACCAGATGCAGCAGGTAGTCGTCGCCCTTATAGTTATATATCATGGTGCAAGTCTGCGCCTTGACAGTAATGCCCCGTTCACGTTCGACATCCAGCTTGTCCTGCGAAGAGGCGGGAGACCGTTAGTTCCGCGTACTCCACATCGTACGGCTACCCCTACAGCCAGAACAAACTCACGAGAATCTGTTTGTTGGCGTCGCTGGCAGATATTGTACCGGTGATCTCTAATAGACGGTCGCTAAGCGTGCTTTTTCCATGGTCGATATGGGCCACGATACAAAAGTTGCGGTATCGTTCAATGGGAATGGAGAGTATTCGCTCCTCAAGAGCAGAACGTAACGGCGCCGCAGGCTTCGCAAAGGTCGGCGTGCCACAGTGAAACGATTTTTCATGCCCAATACCACTCCATCTCGACGTCTTCCATCGCTGCGACTGTTGCGCAAAGACGTTGCTAGAACAATTTGTCCGATTCGACGAGGGAAATCGTTGCAGTTGGCGTGGAATACCGACCAAACGGTCCCGCGTAAAGCGCACGCTCGTCGTTGGGGGGCCACGCATCAAGCTGTGTTTCTCAGCATCGAGCAGATCCAAACTCGGGGTTCGAATGTCTCAAGAGCGGGGGGTGAAGAAACGTCGATTATAGTCGGCGACGTTCAACTCATTGAACCAGTGCGACTTTTCTCGCCAGAAGCATGAACAGGAGGAACGGTGCACTTACCTACCTATGCACGCGGTTGACAAAAAAAGTGGCACATATACAAGCAACCTTCAACTTCAACGTACCTTAGGAAAACAAAACAGAAAAAAGAGTACAAGATTTATTAGTTAATATCAGACTTGATCAAGATTAAATAAACTAGAGGAAAGAATAAATAACTTCTATTTTTTTTTATTAATTACGTGATATAATAAGGTACCTTATTTAAGGTATTTTACCCTAGGTACCTCTATACTGGGTAGGTGTAGGTATCCATACCTTAGTAGCGTAGGTACGGACACTTAGCGGCAATGGAAGTCAAGCTCATGTGGGTCACAGATGGGCACCCGACTGGCCGGTCCACCCTGATGATTGGTTCCATTTGTTGGGTGGCTCTATACCTTGGGGCTCGGACTGAGGTGTGCCACCTGCCTCCGATGCCTCAGCTGCTGACGACAGAGCCTGTCCCAGATCCATGGGCTTGGTGGTTGGACAGCATAAGGTACACATGGCTGATGTCCAACTGATAGAAAAGCTCACCTTTCGACAACGTGTCTCAACAGTCAGCCATCCTACCACCTTGGGACTCTCTATAACTTAGGAATCAATTCCATTTCAACGTTGAATATGTTGTGGTATCTCGTGGTATTTTGTGGCATCTGCAACCTTCGAACCCAGAATCAGCAAGTGGCCTTGCAAAGACGAATAGTCGCCATTCCATCTATTTTCAGCTTCCATCGTAGCCCAATGGGTCCTGACCTTCTGACCCGGACTCTTGATTAACGTAATTAACGTAATGTCAACAGCTCCTTCAGCCACTCTCAGTGAACTCTTAAAATCATGCCTCCATGTCATCGCATATGGACAGTTCGTACCGATGCTAATGCTTCGTTGGCTTAGGCGAGAACCCACTCGCTTCCCCTCTTGATGAATTTGTCCAACAACAGACTCAAATCAGATAGCACAAATCGGCAGATGAAGAAGCCAAAAAACTCGGCCGCATGTCGCGTGCAAAGCTCGAGGCCAACCTGTGTCTTGTCGGCGTGCCTCAGTCCTGGATCTTCAACTTGGCGTGCAATTTGGTCTGAACCTCGAGTGTAAGTCAGAGGAACACGTGGCAAAGGCCATGGGTTAGCTTACCAATCGTCTGAGCGGCGTCGAACAGTCGAGCCAGTGATCCCATATAATTCGCATTCGGCCCCGTGAATTGCGCATTGCTCGGATCCCTCCTTGAGGGGCGACTTGTTGGGTGTTCCGTCATGGGCAAGGTTTCTAAGCCCGGAGATTCCTTGCCGCTCTCTACCCCATTGCCTTTGGCATTGAAAGAGTTGTTCAAGCCCGCTGCCGAGTTCTTGGACCTCAGCCTCCGCCACGAGAAAGATGAGGATTTTCCCGAGACACTGGCTGAACGCGGCACGCTGATTGCTGCTTCAAGCTCTGCCGAATTCGACGCATCTCGAAATAGCATGCTGGAGTTCTGAACACCCACGTCCGTGCCCAACTTTCGCGTCAGCCCGACTTGGACCTGTTCAAGAATACCTTCCAGGGCCTGCATTTCTTCGAGAACGGCATCCGCATCGCATGTGTCGACTCGCGCTAGCTTCAGGAGTGCAGCTGTTAGGTAGTCACATGTTGCTACCTTATCCTCCACGTTCCGAATTTTGACTCCCTTCACCTTCCAGACGTCGCGTGGAACAAATAGCTTATTGCTTAGGTATCCTCCCCGGGGGTGAGCAAGAGTCTGATATAGACATCGCATTAACCAAAACGGCCTAAGCATGTAGTCTGTTGGGCACGGTTCTAGGGAAATTGGAGCATCTGGCTCAAGTGCATTTGGCGACCCCGGGCTCTGCGGTGAATGAAGGCTATCATCAAACAGATAAAGACCCCCAGCAGAGCTTGGTGTGAACTTTTCTTTGAATGCAGCTGCCAAGGGTGTCGGCAATGTGGGCATTGCCGGATGCCGGCCATTGATGCCAAAAGCGTTACTCAATGGGGTACTGGGAGACATGTCAGAAGCATCGTCCAAGTTCGATAGAGACATGTTCCGGTTTTTAATGCTTCTTAAACTTGAAGATGAAAAGTTCTTCCTCAGTGTAGGTTGAAAAGAAGGGGAGCCAGAGTGGCTGCCCGTAAAATCTTCACTGTCCCGGCTTCTTGAGTGACCGAGCGGAGGCGTAGGAGGCACTGGTTGGGTTGGACTGATGCCTTCAGGCGGTGAATATGGCCGGGCCATTGGGCCATCCGCGTCAGCATCAGGAGGTCCGTCGAGGTCAGTGTGGTCGAAATCTACCCCATGGATTCCACTCGATGCTTGGGCGACACTATAACGCCTGTCAGGGTCCCCATATTTTGCAAGCTTGGCAGTTTCAATCTTTAGTTGCTTAGGATTTTGTCCAGACATCCGCCTGCTTCGCACACTTTGTCCAGGCGCTGGCGGTGCCATCGCACCTGGCAAAGGCTTCTTACTAGGCAATTCAGGCAAAGCCTGTGCCGGAGGCGGGACTGCAGGGCCTCCTACACTCGGAAAGTTGTTTGCAGTAGGATCGGCTAGCGAGGAGGAAACGTCACCACCTGCGACATCTGTTGGGGTGACGAATGTCTGCCAGGACGACTGGGCCAAGTCACTAGAGCCCGAAGTTCTAGCTGCAGTCTGATGAGATGCTAGATTGAAGGCAAAATCGTTAACCGAGTAGTCTCGAGTTATCTCGTCAAGGATGCGCTCCTCTTCGTCTGATGATCCATCGTCGAAGAAGTCTTCGTATACGACATCTTCATCGGATTGCTGTTCAGTTTGGCTTTGCGTAAGCCGCTCTCTCTTATTGGCTTGTTCGAGAGCCTCTCTCTCCGTTTGGCGGACACGTTCTTTGGCTAGCTCGACCTTTCGTAAGGCTTTCGCTATAATTGGATCATCTGAGCCATGAATTTCTGGGTCCGAAAATCCGGTCTGCTCATACCCATCATCATAGGCTGCTTCAACTGCGGCGTCCAACGCTGCGTCAAACTCTGCTTCCGTAGCGCCACTCGGAGCACGAATGTGCTTGCGCCTATCAACTGCGGAAGATGACCTGGAATGAATAGAGGACGCTGTAGACCCTCCAGACTCGTCAATTGGGTCCAACCACGAATTTGACTCCCGACTCGAGTCTCTAACATGTCGAGCACTCTGGCTAGTTCGTCTTGCTGAGAGAGAGAAGTCTGACTTGATGGGTCCATCAGGGCTGTTTTGGCTGTCTAGCTTGGGTGAGGCGGGCCGTCGCGGTGAGAGTGGTGGTGGCATGTATGCGTCATCTGTGGGAATCTGGAAGATGAGTTGATCATCTGATGCACGCTCTCGAAGCGGTGATCTTGAGAAGGAGGATTGCAAGTGGTACTGCTCCGGTAACCTTGCAGATGAGCTCCTTTGTCGCTCCCCTAAACCTTGCATTCGTGGAATGGTCAGACCAGAGCCACTGTAGCTGGTAGCATGTTGATTATCCTCCTTCAATATCCCAGTCAAGGTCGCAGTCTCCAGCCCGTCCGTCTCTTCGAAACCTTCGTCGTCGTCATTGAACTGTAAGGTGGGGTTCAAGCGCAATCCCAGGCTTTCTGGTCTAGCTGGAAGTGCTTTGCCTTCTGTGACTTGCTGAACGGGAACCATTTGATCGAGTTCTTCGATTCGACTAGTGTATGTTCGACGCTGAGTCTGGTTAGCTTGGGTCACATGCCTGTCAAAGAATGATACTGTTGACTCACGATCGCCTCAAGCTTTCGTCTGTCCTCTTCGGTGGATGTCCTAGCCAACACTTGATGCAGCAGCTCGCATGCTTCAGCATATGAATGCCTCGCGCCTTCGAAATTTTGTGCATTATCTAGCTGAACTGCAGTGTTCGCCTTCTGCAGGGCCCGTGAAAGCATGGCTTTTTGCGATGGCGGCCGGGTTCCCCTCTCCTTGACCCGTGAGGAACCCGTGGTGTCAGTACTCCCCTTTGCGGCCTGCGACCAGTTGCGGGAGTGGCCCTTCGTCTCATAGGCCTCCCCATTGCGATCGGATGGCATTGCTACGCGAGACGGCTAATGTCGACGCTGTTCAGTTGATACTCTCCGTCCAGGACCGGAGAATGCATCCCAGGGTTGGTTCTGGTCAGCTACAAGGCCACTCTTGAATAAGCGGGAGGCACCCGTCGGGTGACGAAGGCCGTTTCCTGGTAGTGCAAGCTTGTCCGTTGAAGAAATATTAAGCTTATGTGATATAAGTACGTTAGGAACCCTTTCAACCTGTGTTGGTGAGTATGCGCGCAACTTGCTGCCACCGCTGCTTGTTCCCTAGGTACCGTCGCTGGAGTTTGGTCCTCGCCTCGGAAGCCTTTGATTCGGCTGGCTGAGTGCCAGTATGCTGTTAGTCGCTGATGATGCAGATGCATCAAGGCTCATGCGGCGTGCATGAGATTTGATTGCGTGATAGTCCTGGACTGACGCTCGGCTCGAGGTTGTCGAGGCAGACCAGGGGTTGAGATTCCTTATGTCGTCACTCAAAAGGCCGGTGCTGCTAGAACGCGAGTGGGTGGTGGAAGGTCGGAGGTACGAAGAGGCTTCGAATTCCAATGACGAGTTTGAATTGGGATACTCGGGAATCACGACATCGGGATCATTTGTCGAAAAGTGAGGGATGTTGTGGGGCGGCAAGAGAGAGGATGTTCGTGGAAGTGGTGAAGGCGTTTTGCGTGCAAAGGACGTGCTTGTGTCAAGACAACAACCAAGCGAAGATGAGACTGGAGCCTGCGGTCGGTCGGAGCGTGTGCCGATCAGGTAGCGGGGGGCAGCCAGGTGATTTGAAGACGGCGACGAGGGGAAGGACCTGGACAGTCTGTGCTGCTTCTGATAAGGCGGCGGCGGCTGCTGACGTTACTACTGGTATTGTGGTGAGCTCAATGTGTGCAACTGATGGTTCGGCTGCTGTGACGGTGGTTGGCGACCCTGGCTCTGCCCGCGGTGTCGTTGCGATGGGGATTACGACTGTGACAGGCCTGCGTTCGAGAAGGTGGCCGAGTTGGTGGTTTGAGGTGAGGGCATCCTGTGCACCTAAAAGGTACATAGTGAGGTATCCGATACGCTCGGATGAGTCTGGCCAAAGACGTTTCAACTGGTCAACCGGAATAAGCCCGCTGCCACACCCACCGCATTGAATGTGTCATGGCTACATGTAGTACCACTCATTCCAGGGGGTGTGTTAGTCGGTCGTTTATAGCCGCCGACGGTCCCTGGGCATGGGCAGGTAACGTATGGTATGCGAGAATGGTGCGAAGGCCTGGCCCAGGCTGATTGGTGAAGTGGGCACGGACACAATGATGTCGCAGTGGCAGCTGAACAGACCCATCTAAGTGAGGTAGGATAAGGCTGATAGGCGCTATACCGCCGCTACCTTAGAGAGGGCTTCGAGGTGGAGTGTGTCGGATGGCAAGGGGCCTAAGCCTCTTCTAGAAAGACCATGGTGTTAAAAGCAATTTATTATACTATTGAGAACTTGAGTCATGACGAAGTTATCGAAGGGGCAACATGCTCATGACAAAAGCGGTGAACTAGTGCCACTTTATTTCGGGTGAAATAGGCTGATCAGAAGGCTGAGCTTCAGACGCGCTAAAAGGTTTTTTTAAGGATTTTAAGCCGATAATTTATTACGACTTAATTTGTATAATAAGCTAGAGACTTACTTCGTAAGCCCACGGCACCTTTTCCACTATAAATAGTATTAAATATAAAAATATAAATATAACTTTTTAAAATTAAAGAAATATTTAAATAAATTATATCTGAATTAATAAAAAATAAATAGTAAATTAAATTAAATTATTTATTCAATGAGTAATTACTAAAATAAAGTTATATTTAAATTATATATAAATTATATATATAAAGAGAAAGAGTAAGAGAAAGAGAAAGAAAAAATAACTCTTTATAACGAGCGGCTAATTTTTTTTATTAATTATACTTTATAACATTAAAATAACTTTCTTTCAATATAATAATAAATTTTATAAAAAGCTAAAAGTATAGAAATAAAGTTTTTATAATTTAAAATACTTATTTTTTAAAAAAATACTTTATAAACTAATTAAGTAAACATATTAATTAAATACGTTTAAAATATATATTAAAAACTTTATTTAAGGGAATTAATACACGGGCATAAATAATTAATATACAGGCATAACTCTTATATAAGCATAATAGCTATATATTATTATTAGCCTAAAAAAGCTATTACCTTATTTTAATTCTGTTAGTCCTACTTAAAATATTTAGGAATTTTTTTAATATATAATTATAATACGTCGTTTATATTACTTAATCAAGGTTTTATCGCTATATTATTTATATTAAAATCCTTTATACTTAAATCCGCTCCTCCGTTATTAAAACGTAACCTATTATATTAAACTAAAAGCTTAAACTTAAATAATAAGCTTAATTTAAAACAATAACATAATAAATATTTTTTTACCTCACGACTTCTTATTATTAATAATTTAAATATAAATATTAATAATTATTATAACTTTAGCGATAATAATACGTTTAAAAATATTTTTATTTCCTATTTAAACCGGTTTTATTAAATTATTTAACTTTACGGCTTATATAAAAATAATACGGTACTTATTAAAATATAAAATAATTATGAAATCTTTTTTTATAAAATATTTTTAATAATAACTATTTAAACTTATTAAATTATTATATTAATATTTAACCCGGAATACGGTCTATTCCTATTATATTTTACTTTTAAATTTACTTTATAAAACGAAAAATATTAACTTATATAAATTATTTTTATAAAAAAGTTTAAATTTATATTACGTTTAGTTAAAAAAATAATAAGGGAAAAGTAATAATTAATTAAAGAATTTTTTAATTTTTTTAAATAAGTTTAATAATAGCAACGGAAATAGGGTTATTTATTATACCTATTTAATATATTTATTTTACTACCCTTATTTTTATATTCCTTTTTTTATTATTTAAAGTATTTTTTTATTAATTCTTAAGTAAACTTAATAATTTTATTATTATAGGGTTTTTATTTCTTAAATTAACGCTCATTTTTGTTTTTACTTAATTTAATCTTAAATTTATAAATTCTTAATAATTTAAAACCTATAGTCGACGTTTTATTTAATTAAGTTAATATATTTATTAAAAAAAACGGGTTTAATATTATTTGTTAATATAAATATATATATAAAAATAAAAAAATAAATTATATATTTTAATACGATCGTTTTAATAAACCGCGGCTTACTAAGGGTATAAAGTTATGTTAATAAAAATTACGAAAGTATAGTTATAAATAAATAATTATTATTAAAACGAAAAAAAAAAGCGTTTAGCTTTTACGACGATATATTAAAACTGAGTATATTTAATATAACTACGGGCTAAGCTTTAATTTTTTAATATATCTTTTATATTAAAGGCTTATATTATTAATTAAAAGCGCTATTAAAACTATTAAGCGCTAAGTTAATATTAAAGCCTGCGATATTTATATTATTATTTAAAAATAATTTTTAAATTCCGTATTTATTTAATAGGATATTTATAATATTAAAGCTTTTATAAATAAAAAGAAATTAAACGGCTATTTATTAATAACCGTTTTAATAAAGCTTTTGGATGAGCGAAAAGTATTTTATATTATAAAATAGGCTAATAACGAGCCTAACCGGCTTATTAATTTAATATAAATATTTTTATTTTATTTTTTAATATAAAAGCGCTTCTTAAAAGTAATTAGTTTTAATAATATATATAATATAAATCGTTTTAAACTTTTATTATTTTAAACTATTAATTAAATATATATTAAAACTATTTTTAATATAATATTCGGCTTTATTAATAACGAAAGATTAAAAAAGTTTTAATTCTTTACGGAAAATATTTATTAATTAATTAATTAATATTCGATTTACTTATTAAATATTATTATTATTAATTATAATAAATAAATAAAGGCCGTCTTAGCTTACGAGTTCGCCGATATATAATAATAACTTTATATTTATTATATTAACTTTAATATTATATTTAAGGCTAAATAAAAGTAAATAAAAAGAAAACGGCTAAAGGGTACCGGTAGTAGCTCGGATTATAAAAATAATATTAAGTTTTTAAAAATATTAATAATGGAATTAAATAATAAGGACTAGGCGTATATTTATATACTTATTAATAATTTAATTTTTTATATATATTATAGAGTTTTTATAATATAAAAGCTCATTATTTTTATTAAGATCGAGGTTATTTTTAAAAAAATATAAGATAGTTTTTATAAAAAGTTCGATAACGTATATGTATAGCGAGTCGCCTATTATAGCGAGTCGCCTATTTCTAAATACTTTCCTACTATTTATATAAGTTAATTGAGCTATATCGTACGAAATTAATTAAAACTACTTATTAGCCTCTTTTTTAAAAGTCTCCTAAACTACTTAATATATTTATATATTATATTTAGTTTTTCCGTAGTTACCGTATTACCGCCCGCGCGATTTAACCCCCTTCGTATAAATATCTTTTTAATATATATTTTCGCTTTTAATATTAATAACCCCCTTCTTTATTCGGATTACCTCGGCCTTAATAATATTAAGTAAACCTTTAAGACGTAGTTATGTTTTTTTAGCCCTCCGGCGCTTATTTAGTATTTTATTTATCGTACAAAGCCTACGGTATTTAATTTTAATAAAAGCTAGTTTATATATTAACTTATTAATACTTTTAGCTTATAAATTAATAACTTTATATAAATATATTAATAAATTATATTAATAGCTATAAATCTGTTTTTTAAATAAAATAGAGCTTCGTACGGCGTTATATATTATAGTTAGTGTTTTTAAATCCTAAGAGCCTTAATTATTTAGGCATAAGTTAGATAGTATTAGCGTTTTTAATTTAAAATCTAAACGGGAAATAACTATTTTTAAATTAAAAAGTATAATTCTAGCCTATTTAAAACTAGTTCGTACGTTTTTTTTGCTTATTAAAAT